CAGTTCACTTCATCAGATGCAAAATGGTTAACAACCAAACAAGGCTCTTCCAATTTGGCGGCGGGGGGCAGGAGTGGGAATTATAGGCCATGATGTGAGAGGAAATTGAAAGAGAGTGGTCTTCCAAAAATATTTGTTAGGCGATAATGCAGATATTCTTAGTGAGCTGATGGAACCCATGAAATGTGGTTTTAGAAAAGCTTAGTCCCCTTGGAGCCATTGGAAGGTGGGTGGACTTTTGTGAAGAAGCGGGGCTGGGAAACTCCATGGAAGAACGTCACGGCACTTCTCTGAACTGCCTCTGTGCTCTGTGATAGTGCTGAGATTCACAGAGGGAATATTGTTAGTCAGGGCTACTTTACTGTAAGATAATACTTGTACCGATGCCAGTAATTATGTGCTTTCAGTACTGAATTAACCAGTAATAATAGCAAGTTGGGGATGATGAAAGTCCAACTCAATCTCAGGCAAATCTGTTAAGAACAATTATTTTTCTGCATGTAGCCTAGCAACTGAGATAAACTCCGCTGTCAAAAAAAGAGGAAGTGGGCTATCCTGGAGGTAGCCTTCCAAGCGTGCTGACTGCAGGTTTAGATCTCAACCAACCACACACCCTTCCCTCGGGATCGCAAGCTGGTTCGGGAGGTTTTTGCTGAAGGATCCCGCAGGCACACCCACTGCCCCGAGCTGCCTGCAGCAGACAGAATGCCGTGCAAGACGCGAGATAGAAATGCAGCGGGAGGAGATGCTGGCCTGGGGGGCCCACAGGGAGGGGGCCGTGGCTCGGTGTGGCACAGCCCACGCTGTCCAGGCAAGGGCCCCGCCCCACGTTCAGCCCCAGCCATCTCCAGGCTGAGCTCAGAAGGAGCCACGCTGGCCACGCTCATGATTCCTGGGCTCCGTGGGCCAACGGGCCAGCTCTGGTCAGGCGTGTAGAAGTGCTCCGGTGTGCCGTGCGGCACGTCTGTTCTCCACGATGCGGATGAGCCGGCGGGAATCTTGGAGCACGGCCCTGCGGGGTGCTTGCAAATGCCTGCGTTGCTTTGGAGCCTGCTCTGAGAGTCAGCAGCATCTGAAGAGCCAGATGTGGAACTGCCTGGGGATTTCCTCTCCCAAGACAACGCTCCCATGGACCCATCTGCAACTGTTGGCTTGGATCGTGGCCACAGTACCTAATCGCTGGAAATGGATATGGATTTCTAAAGTACAGTCTTAGATGGGTATCAGATAAAGGCTAATGCCATTAATGTTGACCCTGTATCTCAAGGACTAGCCGTACAGCTGTTGGAATGATAAATGCCAATGTGGCAACAATTAAGAGTTTGCTTTAGCATTAATGAAACTATCCCAGTCTTGAAACAGCCCTCTCCTCCTGACATGTTGGCACTAATTGAAAAGAAAACGTCAGGGTCAATATAAGCACATACACAGACAGTTCAGCCTTTTGCTTTAGTACCGAAAACTGTTTGAAAATCAGCTTTCATCAAAAATGGGACCGCTGCCCACTTGAAATAAAACAATAGCTTAAATCTTCGTCATTTTCCACTTATGAAGCCATGCTTCCATTAAAATAAACAATACAGACTGCAGCATGCCAAAACCATTACTCAAATGCATTTCTGCTTTTGTGCCATTCTTACTCTGTCCAATTTAAAACTGCATTCTGGATGAAATAAGTTAAAATCAAAGAATGGAGCAACCTCTTCTTCTTGTTGGGAAGGGCAGGATAAAAGCTGAATTAAAATACAGTAATGTGGACGACTCTGGCCGGGCCCGTCGTGCTCCCCAAAGCAACCAGGCTTGTTGGGGCTGCGCTCTTTCCATCGGCTGCCCCACACTTTGATGTTCGTAGGTGAGGCTGGTGATAGATGGTCTGTTGTGACCCCCGGCTAGGGTGACGGTAACCTTTAAGGTTGCTAGGTGGCATTTAATTTTCGGTAATGGGACACTTTTATTAGAGAGTGGTGCTTTTAAGCGCAGTGTGTTCAAAGCCCCAGGAGAGGAAGTGCTGCCCCCGCCTGTTTCAGCTTCCAGAAGTTGGCTGAGGTCAGTAAGCTGGGCTCCCCACACTGAGCCAAAGGTCTCCTTAAAAACATTTACACCGAGCATATCCAGAGAGCTGACGCCATAAGAAAACTAAAATGGTGGAGGTGCCTTTTAATAGCTCAGCTGTAATTAATAATCCCGTCTGTCTGCGGCATAGAAATGTTCTAATTATTATTATTATTATTATTCATAGAACTGACTGAGAGGAATGAAATAGCACAAGGTTGTGCTGGAACAGCCTTCCTATGCAGCTGTCCTCCATAGGTTTTGGGCCAGCTCGTGTCCTTGCCAGCCTTGATGGCCATTGGGTGGGAGAAATGGGAGTGGTGGTCCACAACTTCTCCTGAGGGACACCAGGTTAGCAAAAACTGTCCAAGGATCAACTGCATTTTTAAGGCATCATTAATACGGTGTTTATTTGTTCGAGGTGCAGAAATAACGTTATTGTTTGGAATTCCCTTCCAAGGAGCTGGGTTGGTGGGTGTTCCCATCCCTGACTGCTCCCCGTTAGGTGTCCTAAGACAGCCAAGTCCCTGTTTTGCTCCAGCAGGCATTTGGGAGTTTCTGCTGGACTAGCTTTACCTGCTATATTGTTGTAGCATTTTTAATCTGGATATTTGGTACAATTTCAACATGCAGCTGTGTAACATATGCGATTTTTAATGCTTTAAATATATGTTTTTTATTTTTTTTGATGTGCTTAGTCCCAGTTACTGAGAATAGGTGGGAATATAATATAATACTCTTGCAATTTTCTTCTTTTATTTTTAATTGACATTTTAAGATGTGACTCACTTTCTTGATGTTCTTTTTATTTTCCGCCCAGAAACCCAATGGGCTGTTTATAATACTCCTAGGGTTTTTTTCCAGTGATTTTTTTTTTTAAACATAAGCTTCATTTATTTGTGGCTCAAATAAATTATTTAACACATCATCCTGATCTCATTTATTTCCCATCACAGTTGCGATCTTGTGTCACAAAGATGTTGTAGCACCTTGTGGGCATGGAAAACAGTCTGATTATGCATTTGGTAGCACTTTCTGAAAGGGCGATATTTGGCGCACACGGCGTCAGTCAGCACAGGTTTCAGGAATATTGCATGCTTGGGTTTTCTACTTTCACATGTCTTCTTGATGGAGCCTCCCTTTCACGCTCTCCTTCCACAGCACAGTCCGTGCTTTCACAAACGTGCACCCCACAGTCAGCGGTGTATAATTAAGCCAACTCAGACTGTACAATTTGTATTTTAAAAGAAAGGTGAAGTACTTGGCTTTTAAAATGTTATTTGTATGGATTACAGAAGTGTTGTTCATAATTATGCAGTCATCAAAGCTGGTCATAATTATATGAACATCTAAATTCAACACACCATCTTGCAGGTGTGAATAGAACTTCCCAGGTATTGGGTGAAAAAAGTAATCAAGCCATAAATAAATCATAGCAGATTGTAATTATGTTACACAAGAATGGTTTGAAACATCTCGGTACTCTAGAATGGAGTAACTCGCTTACTTTCTAGAGGTAAAGAATAGCCAGTTAAAAGTTTTAATCTTCTGGCAAACAAACTGGTTTGGTCTGGCCCAAATGAACCACCAGAGTGTTTTTCAGTCTGCAGTAATAAACTGGATGCAGATCTTATTAAACTCAGCTTGATTTATTTCCGAGGAGATACGCACAGAATTGCATTGTTGGATTTTCTGCTTCAGTTGTAAAATGCAAGTCACAGAAATGTTTTCTCTTTGGTTTAATACTAGAAAAATTAAAAAACTTACCCCCCATGTATGCCATTTTCTCAGGAAACATAAACTTACAAAGGAAACATAATTTGGAAAACTGTTACTTATACTGCTTTTATTTAACATATTTTAACTTATTAATTGCATTTTTCTCTGTTTTATTGTATGTTGTTATTGTTATTTTATGTAATTTTGTAATCTGCTTGGAGAATCTTTGGACTAGTATAGTGGAATATAAGTTGATTATTAATAATATAGTGGAATATAAGTTAAGTTTTATTTTATTTATTGAAAAAAGAAAATCAGAATGGTGACCATCAAAAGACAGGCATGGCCTGCTTTTAGCCAAATGTGAGTAGGAGAAAAGAGCACTTTTTCTCAGATGCTCCAGAGAGGACTGCCGGATGAGCCTGGCACGAGCGCAGCCTCTTAAATAGATGGGCCCGAGGCCATGGAGTCTCTCTAGGTTAAAATCAGTGCTTTGAACTGGACACAGAAATGTAAAGGCCCTGCCACAGTGCAGGCTTAATCTATTTACAGTCCCCAAAACTTCTCCAAAGGACAGGTGATGTCTGCCTGTACCACCGATAACTCAGGGCAAACTCATATAGGACACATTGCACTGGTTGAGTAAAAATTGTATCGTTCAGGCCAGCCAAAGGCAGGTTTGCTAATCGCTTAATTTAAATTAAAAAGAAGGATACTGGGCCAGCTACTTAAATAGCATCATGAGAAATGTGGCCCACGGTAGGTTTGGCTTGCAATCATTACAGTTTCAGCAGGGTTATCTTCCCAAATTCTTTCTCTGTCTAATACTTGGTTGTGCTATCGTTGTGTGTTTATTTAAATTTGTAACAATATTGTTTTAATGATGGCTCTAAAAACCTGGGAAATACTACCTGTATTTTCACTTGATTTTCATCTGCTTTCTACCCATTTGTAATATTGGAGTTGACATGCTTTTCCAGTGATAAGATTTGTATTCTAATTTTGTGTAAGAGGTTATGGATTATTCACAGTTTCCTTTTCTATTGGCTTATTTACAAAAAGTGCAATTTATTGAACAAGGGTTTCTGAACTTTAAATAACTTTAATTATCGGTAGAATGCCAAACGTTTGTTACAGCTGGCAGTGTGGGGTTTTAAAGTACTTTCCCCAGCAGCAAAAATGTTTCTTGAGAATGTGAGATAGTAACTCACTGCGCATTTTGTTCGCAGGGTTTCTTTCTGACAGTATCACCAGAATCCATATTAAAAGTGGCCTCTCAGGCATCCGCAAGCAACAAGATCTTCAGTTTGAATCTTTCTGCACCGTTTATTAGCCAATTCTACAAGGAACCGATGATGAAAGTCCTGCCTTATGTGGACATCCTATTCGGAAATGAGATGGTGAGTATTTCTAACCCGCAGCAGCATATCAGGGTATCGGTGACTGCAGCACTCCAGTTCTGAGTGGAAAATTACCTAGAAGTCCAACACAACCCCACTTATTTTCGTAAGAGGCGATTTCCTGAAAAATGAGGAGACGAGTCGGAAGGAACTTGAAGGCGAGAGTCAGGAGGGTCAAATCTGTTTGTGAAGCTTGTAAGTTACTTAAGCCATTATCGTAGAGTGTCCCTCCATGCTAGCTGGGGATGATGGGAACTGTAGTCAGACATATCTGGAAGTCCCCAGGGAAGTTAATCATGGAGGGATGCCTTTTGAAGGGGAGGCTATCATAGAGGCTCAGATGAAACACTTACCGTATGGTAGAAAAAATACTCATGGCCCAACTGACACAAGGGTGCCGAGAAAGCAGCACAGTGGCAGTCATGCAGCCTTCTTTTAGACAGTGGGCATTTCCGAACGAAGGAAACAAAGTTCCTGAACTCTGAAGAGTTTATAAAAGGCTGCAAACCATGAATAAATTGGAGGAGCAGATCACTCAAGCATATGAACAACCGAGAGAGACTGCCTTTAGATCCACCCTTAAAGAAATGGAAAAGCAAGCAGGGATGTAGGACCTCTAGAAATCACATTATGGCATAGCGTTGGTGGAGGCCTTTACCTGCCTCCCGTGTGGAAGAGGTCTGAGCGCACCTGCCTCATTGCTTCAGGTGATGGGAGCCATACCTAGTCAATATGAACTGACAAAGGAGAGGGAACATGGGCACCTCCTAAAGACCTGCAGGCAGGGCCTGTTTGCGTGAGCTTCCTCGCAAGGACTCTGGGCTCAGACTGAGCAGGGCGGAGTCTGGCTCACAGATGGCACCAAATCTTTTCGGATGGTGTGATCCAAAGGGTCCTGTAAAGAGCTCTAGAAAGATTTCTTCAGCTGGGTGAATAGGTGGTCCAAATGGAAGCCAATTTCTCTGCAATGTGATGCCCAACTGGGCAGCTTCATAGATGCCTCAACAGCAACAGGGTGAAGGCCACCAGCCGTGAGGAGTGTAGTTCCGAATACCGGAGGCTAAGAATGCTAGCGCCTTTCCCTTTGTGACCTGCCTGTGGGCCTTCCAGAGGCATCTCTGGAAGCTGCTAGGAAGAGGAAGCTGTCCTAGATCATGAGTGGGGAGCCCGGGCCTGCCATCTGGACACAGCCCATGGAGCCCCACCTCCTCCCCCTGCCTGCCCCAGAGAACCTTCCCCCTCCTGGCACCAGCACGGTCCCGCCTGGGGGTGCTTCGGTGTGCTTGCCGCTGGCCAGGGAAGAGTTAACCGTCCCTTTGCCCCTATGCTGCAATCCAGGCTGAAAGAAGCCTGCAACCTGGGCGGGGAGGGGCGCTTCCTGGGCTAATTGCAGTGTAGTGCGTCCATAGTCTTCGTTTATGTATGTCTGAAGGTGTGTGCCTTGGCTATGAATGAGATGCTTTGTGTGTGATGTGTGTGAATGTGCTGGTAGGTGGATATATTGGAGAGAGAACGAAAGAGACGTCGCTTTGTTGCTTACCTTGAACAAAGGTTTGCTTTCAAAAGTCCAAAAGGGCTTTTTCCATCCTGGGCTGGATGGACTCTTTCTGTCCTCCGTTGGAGCTCTTCATACGTGAGACAAGAGAAAGGATGCAAGGAACTCTGTGCAAGCAGTTTGAGGAAAAGCGTTTTCTGTGCTTTCCTCCCACAAATCGTGCTTGTGCCACTGAAACCTGTTTATGAGTTTCCAAAAGTGTCTGGGTGCTGGAAACAGAATTCTGGATGAGGTGGATCCAGGTAGTTCTAATGCAAATCTTGCACTCTGAATCTTCTGTTCAGACCAGAATCAGAGCTGGGAATGTTCACATTCCATCTAGGAAACATTTTTTTTGGCACCCTCTGCATTCAGATGCATTCTAGATTAAAATACTCCTTGAAATGCCCACCTGTATTAATAATTATCACGAATACTATCACTGGCATTATGTTGGAATGCATTTTATATTATGCTGGACTCAACACACACTCAGTCTCTGTCTGCACATAAATATCAAAGATCAAGTCATCGATGCAGCCATTTCCTCTCCCAAATAATAACTATATTTATCTCATTTTTATACTCATGATCCAGTTATTAAATAATGTGCCTTCCTATTAATTTGGGAAGGGGATTTAGCAAAGTGAATAACTGAAAGATTGGAATAATATGTCAAGGACATTATTCTGATGGATGTTTAATTTGTATATTCCTTTGGTGTGTGTGCCTGTTAAGTTAATTGCATTAGCCCTACCGGAGTCTGCACTGACTGTACTTCCATGATGGTGAAGGACTGTTTATTATTTTAATAGCTGTCTTTTAGCAGTTTTGCTAACATTTACTTGGTATTTTTTTCATCACTCCTTGCCCCTCATTCCCATTAGTTAAGGATTTGTTTGAGTTCTTTATTCAGTAATGGAATTCAGTAAGTATGCAAGCTTGGTATTCTAATTTAACACATATAGGAATACGTTTATATGAAAACTTTGGTCACATACGAATCTCACACTGAGCCAACAGGGCGACCCACCAGGGTGGACTGGTTGTTTAATGGATGACTCACCATGCTCTGACAAACGATTGGGCTGGTTGTTTCACAACACACACGGCCAGGTGCCCTGAGAAGGACACCCATCCTTGCCAAACCTCCTCTTTAGAGGGGTCCCAGAGTCGTGACAACTTGCTATCAACACACCTTTTCCCCAGACAAGAGGGTGGGATACACTTCTGCACTTTCCTGAATAGTTGAAGTTGTGGGACAATGTGCAAAACGTTTAGGTATCTTGAAGACAGTCCAGGCAAGAGAGAAGAATGCCAAGAGCTCTCCATGGAGAGGGTGCAAATTTTACCTTTTTTGCAGACAAAAATGCCTTGTGCTTTGCTTTCATGTGACAATCGCCTTTTGCTGTCAGAGGAAGGCAGAGTGGTGGGGGGACCTACTGGGAACCTTCCAGGGTCTGTGCCCAGACTCGGAGCCAACCTCACCCCAGAGCCACCCAGGTAGGGCGGTTTTGGGCCTCGTAAGTCCAACACGTCTACACTTGTGCAAGGCTGAACAGAATGCCGAGCAGGATGCTTTGGGGGGACAATCGAAAGACAAGTGCGGTGGGGGCAGGAGGACAACCGGTGAGAGTCCTTCCCCTGCTAAGTGGCTACTTTGGAAAGACTGGCCAAGACTGCAAAAGGTGGCGAGTGCCTGTTGCTCGCTCTGCCCGCTGCTCTCGCCCGCAGTGGCATCAGTCCCCTCCGTTCTGATGACGCGAGAACCTGTTGGGGCAACCCTGCACCACCTGTGGATTCCCCCGGGTGGCATGATTCCCCAGGTGGTTTTGGGATGGAGCAGCATGGCGACCTGCCACGGCAAGATACCCCGGTGTAGGGTCCTGTCCGTTGATCCAGTTGCTGCAACATCTCCGGTGCGCTAACGGATGGTGGCATTTGGAGAGCACTTTATTCCTGCATTCTAGGATAAGGCATCCGGTTCTCAGTTCTCAAGAGGCCGAGCATCGTCATCATTGCTGCTAAACAGAGGGGTCCCCAGGCTTTCTGGCTCACTCCTAAATGGTCTTTTCCTGAAAAAGGAACTACTGCACAGAACGCGGGAGGTGCGCAGTGCCAGCAGGTCGTTGCAAAGACTTGCCATGGAAGAAGCTCTAGGCTGGCTCAGTCCTCACGCATCTTTTGGCTAATTGCAGTTTTGCTAAGATGAAAAGCTTTTTAATCATCACTCCTCTTTGCTGCCAGTGTTGATAAAACAACTGTTCCTGGGAACAATCTGAATCAATCATTTCATATATGAAGCAACACATTTCTATACAATCCACATGTTTCCAGTAATCTTTCTAGTTGTCTGTGTTGGTCAATTACTGCACTATAAATTTCCACGTAATAGCTGTTTTAGTGATCCACCTAGTATGTTGTGAGTGAAGGGAAAACCTGCAGGCCCTGTATTTAAGACACTTAATGCCGCTTTCCATCATTCACATCACCAGCTATTTAGTAATTATGCTTTCCTATCTTAAAAGCCAATTTTTCCATAATGAAAAATGCTCTCGCTTCTACAGAGCGAAGCTGGCGAGAAAGCTTTGCTTCATAACGTAAACAAGCTTTCCAGTGGCTGCTCCGTAATCTGAGAAGCAAGTTGTCCTTTGGTTCCATATTTTAGATAAAGAATTATAAAAAAAGGCATTCATTTCTGATAAGTGCCATATAAAAGAGCAGAAAATATTCTGCCGTGCAGAAGCAATCATAATCTTCTGTTACTGTTTATAATGCCTTTGGGGAAACGCCTCCGCAAAACTGATGAAAACTTTATTTATTTGATTTATACCCTGCTTTTTTCTTACGAATAACTCCGAGCGACTTGCATCCTCCTCCTCCTGCTGCTCCCACTCTTCCCCCCACAACAGCTACGCCATGAGGTGGGTCGGGCTGGGAGGCTGTGATGGGCCCACCGTCACCCCGTCGGCTCCATGAGTGCCTGGAAGGGGCTCACCTCTCAGGATGCAGAGCTTGGGCTGGGACGGAGCCCGGTGTCGCCTGGGCACTCCTTCACTTTCCTGCATTGCTCTTCACAGTACCCCAAACAGAACTGTTTAGAACTGCAGGGGTGCAAAAGCTCATTCAGGCGCAGAGCAGTTTTCTGGGGCAAGTGCCCACCCGGCAGCCGCCATGGCTCCGTGCTGCCATGACCCGTGCTTTTTACTGCTGGGGGTGTGACTGTGCTCTGGAGCTGCTCTCGGCTCATGCAGGGCAGGCGTGCTGCAGCTCTGCCACAGGCACTGCTGCAGCTGCGGCTGCACTGCAGTACAGAGGCAGGCTGCTCTGGGCTGTGTTGAAGGTCCCCAGCCTGCAGGGTGGGTTCTGGTGATCCCTGCAAGGCGAGATCTGAGTATTCAGAGACTGAGAACACATGACTTGAGGAGGGTTTTCACATAGAATGCCAGTCCTTTCCCGGTTACAC